TTTCCCAGGTCTGCCATTACTGCCTCAATGACTCTCAAGCTCCATTATTACACTGTTGCCAAAAATACTGTAACTGTGATATACAAACAGTAATGGCTCCATTTTCTTACCCTAGCTTACAATATAAAGCACCTTGAGGCTGTTGTTGTGATTTTTCCGTTGTATAAATAAAACTGAATTGATTTTTTTCCATTTATCAGAGGCGGGTAGCGGGGGTAACAGCCTAAGCAGACAATCCCAGACCCAGCAGATAGAGCGCTGCTTTCCTCCCGAGTCGTCTGATGGTTTGCCAGAATTGCTCGTCTTTACCACAAATTCAGACAATCTGGAGACTTCTGCACGCATGGGACAAAACTGAAGAACTAAGAACTGATTAGGTTTTTGGTTTTACCATGGATTTAGAGAGTTACTGATCGATTTCAGTATGAATTCATTTACACATGATGAGGCACATTACACTCATTGGGCTGAAGTCCTCATTTTAGGTTTAATGGCGTAAAAAAAAAAAAAAAAAAAAAAAAAAAAAGGTTTAATCGCGTTTTTATCAGGTAAAGTTGAATTCTTAGACATGAATTGATCTGCAGTTTGGGGAAGGCCTTGAAGAGGACTGGCGGTGGCTCCCAGGCCGGACAGATGCCCAAAGAAGGCATCCCCTAGAAGCAGTACTAACTGTACGGTCAAAGACCTCTGCAGTAATAATTCAATTTTCAATTCAACTTATTTATACAGCGGCAAATCACAACAACAGTCTCCTCAAGACCCTACAATAATACCTACAGAGAAAAACCCAACAATCACATGACCCCCTATGAGCAAGTATTTTGGCGACAGTGGGAAGGAAAAACTCCCTTTTAACATGAAGAAACCTCCAGCATAACCAGGCTCAGGGAGGGGCGGGGCCATCTGCTGTGATTGGTTGGAGTGAGAGAAGGAAGACAGGACGAACACCAAGTGACATCGCCACCCAGAGGAGAGGAATATAACTGGTGGGCAGGCTAGCAAAGATGAACAGTCCGTGTCCTCAATAAATCGGTCCAGGATTCCACAGAATCGAGTGGATGGGCTCAGACAATTAGGAAAGAATTGTGGGAGAAGAGAAAACCTTAACGGATGAATGAGGGGAACCCTTGATCAGGTAGCGACGTGGATCGACTCTGAACGGCACCAATTTCTGAAATGAACAGAGGTGACAGTCAGCAGCTTTGGACGGGTTTGCGAACTGATTAGAGTAAAACCACCTTCTATAATCATAACCCCCAAACCCGGCAGAGAGCCACCTGATTCCATGAACCTCACAGAAGATGATGAGTCCATTTTGAATGTCGTCAGAACCGCGAGTCGGCTTGGAGAGTGGTCTCGAATGGCTATGTCAAGGAGGGAGGGTTTAGATGTTGCTAGTGAAAGCACATGAGAACTGAAGGGACACCTTGAGGAATAATGCGCAAGGAGGAGTTTGGATATCTTAAAAGGAGTGATAGAGGACAGAACCTGGTGCCACGAGATTTTGTTGGTGCTTTGCGAGGACAGGAAAGACGGCAGAGGTTAATTAAGGGACTGCTATAGTTCGCTGTTGATCAAATGTGATGGCAGAGGCTGTATCAAGACTAATGTGATCTATTAGATGGTTTCTATATTGGTTAGAATTAAGATTGTTTTTATTTTTCCAGTTAATGAGGACCATTTTCTTGGCAATGCATAGGGTCGTAAAAACAACGTGGGCTGTGTTTATTTCTGTAGTCACCTCATCCAAGCTGCCCAACAAACACACTAAAGGGGAAGTTGGAATGTTACATTTCAGACACTTCGATAAGTCTTCACATATCTCGCGCCAAAACTTCTGAACTGGTGGACAGAACCAAAGAGCGTGGATATAATTGTCCGGTGAATTGGTTTGGCAGTGTGAGCAGTTGTTGGTAGACGTAAAGCCCATTTTGAACATCCTATGACCTGTATAGTGCACTCTGTGTAATATTTTATATTGCATTAATTGCAAACTGAGATTTCTGATCCATTGAAAGGTTTTTAAGCATATCTGAGACCAAAGGATTGGGTCTAAGTTGATTGATAAATCTGCTTCCCATTTTGCAATAGGAAGGGACATTGATTCATCTATTTTAGAAAGTGTTCTGTATATTTTAGACGATAGTTTGGGAGTTTTAAGATTAAAAAATTGTATCACACTTGGTGGTGTTTGTAATTCAGCTTCACTGGGATTAAATTTCTTTTTTACTATGGATTTAATTTGTTGATATTCCAAAAATCATTTCTTGTTGATCCCATATTGTGCAACTAGTCTGTCAAACGAAATAAAGTCTGTTCCTTCCAATATATGTTCCAAGTATTTAATTCCTTTGCAACTCCAATCTGGAAAGTTTATCATATTATTGTTTTGTAATATGTCCCGATTGTTCCAGATAGGTGTACGTTTGCATGGCATTAATGAAGACTCTGTCATTTTTAGAAACTCCCACCATGCTGTCAGAGAAGAGCTGATGTTGATGCTTTTAAAGCATTCATGTCGTTTGATGTTTGAGCTGATAAATGGTAGGTCTGAAATTTCTAGGTTATTACATAGTGCCTGTTCTACATCTGTCCAAGGTTCATCTAAGAGGGTGTGTTTAAACCATCTGGAGATGAACTGAAGCCTGTTGGGCAGATCTAATCCTCCTTTATCCTTGGTCTTTTGTAGTGTTTTTAAGCTGATACGTGGGGGTTTATCTTTTCAAAGGAATTTAGAAATATACGAGTCTAGAGATCTGAACCAATCTTGTGATGGCTTATTTGGGATCATTGAAAATAAATAATTTATTTTTGGTAAAACCATCATTTTTATAGCAGCGACCCTTCCCATGAGTGATATGGGCAGAGATTTCCATCTAGCCAGATCGCCTTCTACTTCCTTTAAAAGCGGGGTGTAGTTTAATTTAGTTAATTCTGCAAGCTTAGGAGAGATATCCATGCCTAAATGGGCAATTGTGGCTCAAGAGTTGGGAGTTCGCCTTGTAATTGGAAGGTTGCCGGTTCGAGCCCCGGCTTGGACAGTCTCGGTTGTTGTGTCCTTGGGCAAGATACTTCACCCGTTGCCTACTAGTGGTGGTCAGAGGGCCCGGTGGCGCCAGTGTCCGGCAGCCTCGTCTCTGTCAGTGCGCCCCAGGGTGGCTGTGGCTACAATGTAGCTCCATCACCAGTGTGTGAATATGGGTGGATGACTGGATATGTAAAGCGCTTTGGGGTCCTTAGGGACTAGTAAAGCGCTATATAAATACAGACCATTTACCATTTTTACCAAATATTTAATATTTCCAGATTGCAGTCGGGTAATAATAATAATAATGGATTGCATTTATATAGCGCTTTTCGCTATACAGCTCCCCCGCTGACCCCAGTAGGCACCCCCATACTCTGCAACCCACCAGGGAAAGGGGGCTCAGGCCCATCCAGACCGGGGCCCAGAACAACAGCGCCACCCGGCCCCACAGAGCCCGGGACAGTCCACCCGACCCCACCACAGAGAAAACTGCACCCACCCCGTCATCCACTCATCTTCCAGACTACACAAGACAATAGACGCCCAGGCTGAGATCTTCCTCCACCTCTCCTGTATCTCCCCCTCCTGCAGAGTTTTTTTTTTATTACCCAGAGAGAACAAGCATGGATGCAGAGGAAAAAAGCAACATAAAAGATTATAATTTTCTAACTTTTAACTCTGCCATAATTTTAGTTTGGAAAGGGGGGATTCAGTTTTAGCTGCTGGAGTTTAAGAAATTGGATGTTATAATAGACATATACATATTTAATGCTTCTAAATGGTGAATGTCGTCAACATACAAGGATCTATGAGTAAATACTGCTTTATGTCCATTCATGTCCACAGTCTCGTTAACTCACGTATTGACTAGTGTAATCCTCTCTTGCATGGTCTCCCCCAAAAATATCTCCAACTTCAACTGGTTCAAAACTCAGCTGCATTATTACAAGAACCCCCTCCGACCAGAACATCACCCCTGTTCTCCAGGAGCTTCACTGGCTCCCTGTGAAATTCCAGATAGTGTACAAGAGGAGCTTCTATCCCCAAGCCATCCGTGCCCTAAACACACAAGGTAGGCCTGTTAAGCACTATCTCTTCGATCATCTTGTTCTATCCAGCTTGCTGTGCCTTCTTTCCACCTCAGCACCATGGCAGGCATCGCTTTCAGCTGCTCTGCTCCCAGGCTGTGGAACTCTCTACCCCCAGATATAAGAAACCTTGATTCTCTCCCCCGGTTTAAATCCCTCCTACTACTGCCCACCTATTCAAATCTGCATAGTCACTGTGAACCTGTTTATTTTATCTTGTGCTTTTGTTTTCTTATTTTTCTTCACTGCCAATGTTCTATTGTGTGTTTTATTCTATCATTAAGTGTCATTGGGTGTCTATAAAGGCGCTTTGAAATAGAAATTATTATTGTTGTTATTATTATTGTTATTGTTATTATTATTATTATTATTATTATTATTATTATTATTATTATTATTATTATGATTAACAACAATAATAATAATATGTTTAGGTGTCTAAAATCCTCCTAATAACAGGAAGTGAAACGTCTTCGAGGAATTTATAGAAGTCCAGTCGCTTACTTTAATTTAAGCACTTGAACTAAAGTGCTTCACCAAGCCAGCACGCAGTTAAATAAATTTACGGGGGGGGGGGGGGGAATTAAAACAAAACAATAAAAGGAAAATCTGTTATTCTTATGGAGCAGCTGAACACAACGTGAGTCGACCAACCAATAATCTATTTCTCTTATAAAAATGAGAAGAACTCAAACTAACAATCAGTTTTCAGTTTAAACAGAGAATTTTCTAAGTTGAAATTTAACTTATTATGGTTAAAATAATGTTTTGTTTTTGTGAAATGCGGTAAAAACAAATAAATATATAACTTCGTACTATAACCTGATTTGGGAACGAAACCTGTCCTTCTCTGTCGGAACTTTACTGTGTAACACCAGGCGGAAGTAAACAGGAAAGAGCGGAAGTTCCGTTAGCTTTTCTCCTGTGTGACAGAGAAGGAAGACGGTCGTATTGTTGTCGTCTCTCAGCTGAATCTTTGAGCCGTTTGAGCAACCATGTCTTCAGTTCAGTATCTGAGAGAGTTTATCAACGAGCGACTAACTGCTGCTGCGGAAGAAATCTTCTCAGAGTTTGAAAAAACGATCGTCCAGTACGAGGAAGTGATCGACCGTCAGCGCAGACTGCTGGATATCACCTGGAAACCCGAGATAAAGCTGCACACAGCAGGCGAGTCTCACTCTGATGGATGGATGAACTCACACATGAACGAGTCTCACTCATTTTAAAGTTATTTGCTATGTTTTATATGTTTATCATATTATTGCTTTGGGATGTTCAGCTCTTCTTCACTCCCGCACTCGTCATCACCTCTGCTCTCTTATTGTCCTGGGGTCCGTTCTTCGTACCTCGCTTACTACATCCAAGACCAAATCATCGCGCTAACT